GTACAGGGCGGTAGGCGGGCAGACGGATGCCCCGCAGGCTTGCGCACCCGGCCCTCCAGGAGGCCTGGGGTTGGGAGGACAGGGCAAGCCGTGTCCCTCCACTCACTGGGAGGCCATGATCTGCAGAGACAGCAACAGGCTCCCCCCAACCCCCTTCCTCCACGAAAGCTGCCAGCTGGGTTCTCCCAGGCTGTTCCCCAGGAGCACCCAGCCCCTCTGAGGAGCCCCACGTGGGCTCATGAAATGACTCAGAAGGGGACCCCTGGGCTCCAGGTAGAGCGAAGGTTTGCGCTCAGTCTATGACTGGACACAGAGGCTGGGAAGCTGACGGAGTGCCCGCCCCGTGCCAGGGACTGTCCATATGCCTCTACTTGCCTCATTTCACCAATCCCGAAAAAGGGAGACCCAAGTACAGGGCCAAGCGGCTGGGAGAGTAAGAACCGGACATTCAGAGAGCTAGTTCTCCACTGGGGGCCACGGGCCAAGACCCCAGACAGAGGGCCCTGCGGACGAGACCCAGTGTCTACGGGACCCAAGAAGTCGCTCGCTTACTGGGGAAACTAGCACGACGACGAACGGTTTGCCAGTTTGTTTTGAAGCCAGGGCAGGGATCTGAGCAGGAGAAGCATACACTTGGCTTTCAACCGTTGAGCTGGATGGCGGCTCTCAGCCACTCAGCAGCTGGAGCTCAAGATCAAGACCACGTTAGGCGGGGAAAACCCCCGAAGAGGGCTCAGGACCCTGGTGGGGAAAAGCTCCCTGCTGGGTCTGCAGCACAGGTGTGAGGCTGAGGGACCGTCCCCAGCCCATCTCCGCTCTTCCCCCTTTCCCAGTCCTAGTTAATCTGTACCCTGTGTGGCATTAAGACAGTCAGTTCTGCAAGAGCCTGTGTGCTGGAGCTAGAGGGAGGAGAGGCTGACTGCAACGAGGAAGTTCAAGGGAGGCAGGCAGGTGCCAGGGATGTGGGTGAAATAGGATGAGGCGCACATACAAGCCTGTGGATACCGGGTCTCCAGGGCTAACCACCTGGCCACTTGGTGGAGTAGGGGGTGACCTCCTGAGACCCTGTCCTCTGTGCTATGAGTTAGAAAGCGTGCGGGTGCAGGGCACACTTCAGCTGGGGGGGCCGGGCCCAGAGTGCATCCCTCAGTGTAGAGGGAGAGGAAGGCTAGCCCCGTTTTAGCCCCACGGGATGTGGCAAAGGGTAAGAAGACCCAGCATCTGCTCAAGGCCACTCGGACAGGGAGACTCATGTTCTCGCCAAGCCCAGGCCGGAGAGAAAGCTTGAAGCGCCCCCCTGCCCCCACCCAGTGACCCTATGACCTGTTGGGTGATGTTCCCACCTGGCCCCTTGTGTGTTTTCTCCTGGGGAGGCCCTGTCCCTTTTTCTCCTCTGTACTGGCTGAGCCAAGGACCACATTTCCTCCGAGTCACCCCAAAGAAAGGGGGGGCACGCTGTGGGTGGAGGGCTGAGCATGCTGGACTTCCCATCATGAGAAAGGCAGCTTCCACGTCCCTTGGGAGCTGGGATTGAACCTGACCCTCCTGCACTTTGGAGGGGACGCATCTCTGGGGCGTAAGGATTTCCTGCACTTGCTGATGGGCTGGAGGGGGCCTGGTGCAGTGGGAACAGAATCCAGGAGGCCGGGTCCCTCTCACCACCGCTCTGTGCCTGTTTCCCATCCAGGCTAAGCAGCCTCCCTCGCAGGGCTGTTCAGGGTTATTTACAAGGACCCGCAGCGAAGCAAGGTCAAGGTACAGAGTCCTTCTTCTTCCCTTTCATCTCACCCGGCGGCTCGGCCCCTTGCCATCTCTTTGATGACATCTTTGGAACCACAGGGCCCTGGCTCTGAGGAACTGCCAGGCCGGGCAGGACGCTGTCACCGAGAACTCTCTGTGGTTGGTAGCATCTCCCACCCCTGACAGCCCCAGTGACTCAGACGCAGCCGGGGTGCTGTTTCCTCTACGTGTGTCAGCACCATCTCACAAGTGCGTCCTGAAGGGTGGCTAGAGCTGGTGGCTGGCATGTTCCCGGGGTGCTGGTTTCCTCCAAGGGCAGTACCAAGGAAGTGACCTGGCTCAGACGGGTGGGAGGTACGGGGCCTGAGGCGGCTCACCTGAGTGACCTTGGAGGAGTCTCTGACTTTGCCAAGGCTTCCCTTGTGTCCTCCAAAAGGGAAGATGCCCAACCCCTTGTAGCTCTAGCGTGCTCGCCTCTATGAGGCAGGATCCCTGGCTGCGGAAAGGGGAGAGGAGGGGTCTCTGGCCCTGGACACCTTCAGAGACGGTCCTCCTCGAATGCTGCCTGCAGTGTCACTGTTCTGCCTATCATTCAGGGACTCCAGGAAATGGCTCTGGCTCTGGGACCTTTGGTGAAGCAAAGGTCATGGAGAAGTGAAGGTCAAGGACTAGATACACGCTCCTTCTAGCCAGAGTCCTGGGAAACCACACACGTTCGTTCCCCTGGATTCCAGCAGTGGAGGAGGCCTTCCTTTGCCACATGCGTGTTGCCCAGTTGCCATGGGCCCATCACTGACAAACAGGAAAGTCTAGAGGAGGCTGCCTCCCTTACCGGAAACTGTCAAACCAAAACTTGTGCCACTCACTTCCTCCTGAATCATTTGGGGTTTAGAAGATCATTGAAAAAGGAAAGAAAGCCAGCCCCATGGTGTGAAGCTTCTCAATCCGCCCCACCCTGGAGCTTGCTCACCCCTCCATCCCCCAGAGCCTCGGCCTGTGACCCTCGCCAGACGAGCAGTAGTGCCTCCCCCAGAGCCTCGGCCTGTGACCCTCGCCAGACGAGCAGTAGTGTCCGTCTTGCCACACCTCCCGTGTGCCACTGCTTTCACGCCCATTCATTCCCGTCCAGGCGCCACGTCCAGACCCAAAGGGTTTGAGCAGGAGACCCAGTTTCGCAGTGCTCGTGATCCTCCCTCCCCCTGTGCCCTGGTTCAGTCCCCACACTGTCCGCTGGCACAGCACAAAGAGGCACAAAGAACGGGACCTCGGTTTTGTAGGGGAGCCTCCAGCAGGCTGCTTTCGAGGTAGGAACGTGCTGCAGCCTGAACACCCTCGATGTCATGGAGGCCAGGGGTGGGCATGGAGAGTGTTCCTGATGGACAGGACCCCGGGAGCCAATGCCCTCTGGGCCCCCGTTGTGATGGCACAGGGGAAGGACCCCAAGAACCACACACAAGCCTGGGGTCTGCAGGTAGATGCAAACGCCAAGTAACAGTCAGGAGGGCAGGTGCCGCTCTCCACACTCAGGTCCCCAAACCCTGCAACGTGGGGCCTGAATGCGGTTTTGTGTGCAGAGCAGGAGGTTGCTCCTGGCATTGGGAGGCGGAAGGCGTTTGTGAGGGGGAGGAGAAGTTGCAGAGAAAGAAGAAATCCTGAAAGGACAGGCAGTGGGACAGCTGTGGCCTGAACTTGGTGTTCTTCCTCCTCGGATGTGGATGTATTAATTTCCATAAATGCTAATAGCTCATTTCCCCAAGAGCTATTACTTATGTCATCTCCCCTTGGATGCATTTCAACACAGGGCAGACAAGTGAAAGAGAAGAAAGGGCAGCCCCCCACTGGTGAGTTCCCATTCCCCAACCCTGTCCCCACCAGGCAGCTCAGGACTGTTCTAAGGTGGCCCCTCTAACTGCAGGGTCAAGACTCCCCTGCCTACGGCCCCACAACCAGGTCCCTATCATGTCAGGAGGCAAAGAAAGTTACCAACCCCAAAAATGCTGAATCACAAAGTAAGCTGAGTAGGATAGTGGGGGTGGGGTGGGAAGGGAGCCGGTGGCTAGGGGGGAAGGCAGGAAAGGGTGCTAAGGGGCTTCTCACCTGGAGCCCCCCAGGCCGCTCTAGACAAAGCGTAGACCCTAAAGGAGCCCCCAGACAAATGCCAGGAGGAGCAGAGCCAGGGTAGGCTGCCTGGGTGGGAGGGTGGGAAGGTGGGCAGGTACAGGACTGCTACTGCAGCAGGAAGCGGTGCAGCAGCTGGGTCTCTGCGTCCTGCGTCCTGCAGGAGCAGGTAGGGGAGGTGGGGAGCGAAGAGAAGCTGAAGAGGGGGCAGGGGTACAGGGACGGGGGGGGGGGGGGGTGTGTAGGCAGCCAGATGAACTGGTGCAGGAGGGGAACGCCAAGGTCCTGGGGAGCAAGGCAAGGTGCAGAGAGGGCGCCCGCGGGGAGAGATGTAGCGATTGGGAGCAGAATGGGTGGGAAGATGGGGCCAGGGACCTGGAAGGAAAGGCAGGAGCAACAAGGAGAGAGATGGGGGGGATCGGTCCAGGAGCGCTCCGATGGGGCTGCGCTGAAAGGGGGATGGGGGAGGGGAGGCGAGGCTGCGGGAAAAGGAGGGGGCAGAGACGGGACGAGGGGAAGGATGAAGTTTGGGGCAGGGGTCGGGCTTGGGAGCTAAAAGGTCGGGCGGGTTGGCAGATAGGGCAGGCAAGGGAGGACAGGATGGGGGCAGGGAGATGATGGAGAAGGAGGCGAGCCGGCTGGAGAGGAGGTGAGGACGGAGGCGGGCGCGGGGACGCGCTGGGGGAAAGGAGATGGAGAGTCAGCGCGGGCCTCGCGGGTACCCGCCGCCGCTTTCCCGGCGCACGGCCGTCTACTGCGCGGACAGCCGGGGTCTCCCCCTGCACTCACCTGGGGGCTCCAGCTCCGGATCCTCTGCCCCGCTCCGGATCTTCCTTCCCGCCCTGTCCCTGCGACTTTAGCGCCCCCGAATCCCACTAGCTCCACCAGGTTCCGCCCGCAGCATCTTCACCTCGTGGGACGCCCGGGGCCACGCCTCTTCCAGCTTCTCATTGGCTGATATTCACGCCAGTCACATTCCTATTGGCAGAGGGATCGCCGACCATGCAAATCAGAACCGGCCCGCCGCCGCGCCTATTGGCTGGCGCTCCCGGAGCGGAGCCCCTGGATTTGGGCTCTGATTGGTCCCACGGTGCTGCTGACGCGAAGGTCGGGGTGCGGGTTCTTTCCCTTCCGAGACTCCTCGGGCGGGTGACAGCGGGCCGGGTGCCCCTCGGCCGGTCCTCGGACCGCAAGGCCTGCGGCTCCGGTGGGCACCGGCCGGCCGCCGGGCCTCTGGATCCGTCCGAGGGGCACATCCTCGAAAGCTTGGGGCTCGACGCCCCGGGGCGGGTGTGGCAGCTGCAGGCCCGTCTCCTAGGTAACGTTGCCCGTCGCGGGCGGAACCACGTTGGCTGGCTCCGCGGGGGAGGTTGGACGCAGCCCAGAGGCGCGGGGGCCGCCGAGCGGGTCAGGGCCTCGGGCCCGGGGTTGGGGTGATCCGTTTGTCTTTCCCCGGGGCCCGGTACCTGCGGGGCGCGGCGGTCGGGCGGGCGCGAGGCTGTGCCCGTGTCGGTCGCACCTCTTTCCCCCCGCCGTGACACTTGGTGCGGCCGGAGCCACAGGCTTCGGGGACTTCTTGGGGCTCAACCTCAGTACTCTGCCCCTAGACCCTGCGCCCCCTTGCAGCCCTCCAGCTTAAGGCGAGCGCGGTGCCGCCGGCCTGGGCTGTGCTGAGACCGCGGCGTTGGCCCTCCCCTTTTCCCCGTCGGACCCCTGCCGGGGACCCCTGCGTTGCCTGTCCCCACTGGGTTCCTGTCCCCCGCTGGCCCTGCCGACCCGTCCCAGCGCTGCCGCCCAGTGGAGATCTGGAGAATCCCTGGCCCTCGCAGGAGTCCCTGCCTTGACAGCCCTGCCTGCCTACGGCCTCCCCTGCAGCTGCTTCCACCTTCCCCTCCGCTGTCCAGCCCACCGACCTCCTGACCGCCTCCGAGCACCCCACCTGGGCCCTTCTCGAGACCCCAGTGCTCGGTCTCCTGCTCGCTTCTTCAGACTCAGAGGCCCCACCTTTGCATCCCTCTTCCATGCCTGCCTCCCTAGAAGACAGATGCCTTATCAGACCCGGTCCGGCCTTCGGTGTTGCACTGTGTCACTTGGGTTGAAGCATACGGAGGAAGTCTGGCCTCCCAAGCTTGTGTAGTTGGAAAAGGTGTCCTTTAGATGATGGTGGATAGTCGCCCCCAGTTCCCGCCCAGGTCTTCATCACAGCTCACTACACCCTCCGGTCCTCTGATTTTCAGAGGTCACAGCCAACCTCCTTTGTGTGCTAACTTGCATCCTGTCTTTCTGCCTCTCTCCAGATACATTCCTCGAGGGCAGGACGGTTTCTCCAGGGCCTGGCACGTGGTAGGTACTCAAAGACTATTCCTTGAATGAGGAATTCCAGGCAGTGCTTAAGCAGACCTCTACTTACTCTCGAAAAAGCTCCCCAAAGCTTTCAGGTCTCAGGCATTCCAGATTTTGTTCACTTCTGGGAGGGAAGCTTCCCTGTGACCGGGCAGCTCCTGCGGTTCCTGCTCCTCCCTTGCCTTGGTGAACCACTGCTTGTGAGACATCAACCCAGCCTAGCACTTCGGCGCCCGGATTCCCTCCTCTTCTCTACCCTCCCTCCCCCGCCAAAGAAAGGAGTCTGGATCAGGCTTGTCTCCTGTGTGCTGCTCCCACTCGCCCCCTTGTTCTTTTAAATTTTATTTTATTATTATTTTTTTATACAGCAGGTTCTTAATTAGTCTATTTTATACATATTAGTGTGTATACGTCAATCCCAATCTCCCAATTCATCCCACCATCCCCCCACCCCGCCCCTGCTTTCCCCCCTTGGTGTCCATACGTTTGTCCTCTACATCTGTGTCTCTATTTCTGCTTTGCAAACCGGTTCATCTGTACCATTTTTCTAGATTCCACAGATATGCATTAATATACGATATTTGTTTTTCTCTTTCTGACTTACTTCACTCTGTATGACGGTCTCTGGGTCCATCCACGTCTCTACAAGTAACCCAATTTTGTTCCTTTTTATGGCTGAGTAATATTCCATTGTATATATGTACCACATCTTCTCTATCATTTTGTCTGTTGATGGGCATTTAGGTTGCTTCCATGACCTGGCTATTGTAAACAGTGCTGCAATGAACATCGGGGTGCATGTGTCTTTTTGAATTATGGTTTTCTCTGGGTATATGCCCAGTAGTGGGATTGCTGGGTCATGTGGTAGTTCTATTTTTAGTTTTTTAAGGAACCTCCATACTGTTCTCCATAGTGGCTGTTTCAATTTACATTCCCACCAGCAGTGCAAGAGGGTTGCCTTTTCTCCACAACCTCTCCAGCATTTGTTGTTTGTAGATTTTCTGATGATGCCCATTCTAACCGATGTGAGGTGATACCTCATTGTAGTTTTGATTTGCATTTCTCTAATAATTAGTGATGTTGAGCAGCTTTTCATGTGCCTCTTGGCCATCTGTATGTCTTCGGAAAAATGTCTGTTTAGGTGTTCTGCCCATTTCTTGATTGGATTGTTTGTTTTTTTTTTAATACTGAGCTGCATGAGTTCTTTATCTGTTTTGGAGATTAATCGTTTGTCTGTTGATTCGTTTGCAAATATTTTCTCCCATTCTGAGGGTTGTCTTTTCATCTTGTTTATTGTTTCCTTTGCTGGGCAAAAGCTTTTAAGTTTCATGAGGTCCCATTTGTTTATTTTTGTTTTTATTTCCATTACTCTAGGAGGTGGGTCAAAAAGATCTTGCTGTGATTTATGTCAGAGGGTGTCCTTTCTATGTTTTCCTCTAAGAATTTTATAGTGTCCGGTCTTACATTTAGGTCTTTAATCCATTTTGAGTTTATTTTTGTGTATGGTGTTAGGGAGTGTTCTAATTTCATTCTTTTACATGTAGCTGGCCAGTTTTCCCAGCATCATTTATTGAAGAGACTGTCTTTTCTCCATTGTATATCCTTGCCTCCGTTGTCATAGATTAGTTGAGCATAGGTGCGTGAGTTTATTTCTGGGTTTTCTATCCAGTTCCATCGATCTGTATTTCGGTTTTTGTGCCAGTACCATATTGTCTTCATTACTGCAGCTTTGTAGTATAGTCTGAAGTCACGGAGTCTGATTCCTCCAGCTCCATGTTTTTTCCCTCAAGATTGCTTTGGCTATTTGGGGTCTTTTGTGTCTCCATAAAAATTTTAAGATTTTTTTCTAGTTCTGTAAAAAAGGCCATTGATAATTTGATAGGGATTGCACTGAATCTGTAGATTGCTTTGGGTAGTATAGTCATTTTCACAGTATTGATTCTTCCAATCCAAGAGCATGGTATATCTCTCCATCTGTTTGTGTCATCTTTGATTTCTTTCATTAGTGTTTTATAGTTTTCTGAGTACAGATCTTTTACCTCCTTAGGTAGGTTTATTCCTAGGTATTTTATTCTTTTTGTTGCAATGGTGAATGGGATTGTTTCCTTAATTTCTCTTTCTGATCTTTCATTGTTAGTGTATGGGATGCAAGGGACTTCTGTGCATTAATATTGTATCCTGCAACTTTACCAAATTCATTGATTGGCTCTAGTAGTTTTCTGGTGGCACCTTTAGGATTATCTATGTATAGTGTCATGTCATTTGCAGACAGTGACAGTTTTACTTCTTCTTTTCCAATTTGTATTCCTTTCTTTTTCTTCTCTGATTGCCGTGACTAGGACTTCCAATATTATGTTGAATAATAGTGACGAGAGTGGACATCCTTGTCTTGTTCCTGATCTTAGATAAATGCTTTCAGTTTGTCACCATTGAGAGTGATGTTTGCTGTGGGTTTGTCGTATATGGCCTTTATTATGTTGAGGTAGTTTCCCTCTATGCCCACTTTCTGGAGAGTTTTTATCATAAATGGGTGTTGACTTTTGTCAAAAGCTTTTTCCGCAGCTTTTGAGATGATCAAATGGTTTTTATTCCTCAGTTTGTTAATATGGTGTATCACATTCATTGATTTGCATATATTGAAGAATCCTTGCATCCCTGGGATAAATCCCACTTGATCATGGTGTATGATCCTTTAAATGTGCTGTTGGATTCTGTTTGCTAGTATTTTGTTCGGAATTTTTGCATCTATATTCATCAGTGATATTGGTCTGTAATTTTCTTTTTTTGTAGTATCTTTGTCTGGTTTTGGTATCAGGGTGATGGTGGCCTCGTAGAATGAGTTTGGGAGTGTTCCTTCTTCTGCGATTATTTGGAAGAGTTTGAGAAGGATTGGCGTTAGCTCTTCTGTAAATGTTTGATAGAATTCACCTGTGAAGCCATCTGGTCCTGGACTTTTGTTTGTTGGAAGATTTTTAATCACAGTTTCAATTTTATTACTTGTGATGGGTCTGTTCATATTTTCTATTTCTACCTGGTTCAGTCTTGGAAGGTTGTACCTTTCTAAGAATTTGTCCATTTATTCCAGGTTGTTCATTTTATTGGCATACAGTTGCTTGTAGTAGTCTCTTATGATGCTCTGTATTTCTTCGGTGTCTGTTGTAACTTCTCTTTCATTTCTAATTTTATTGATTTGAGTCCTCTCCCTCTTTTTCTTGATGAGTCTGGCTAAAGGTTTATCAATTTTTTTTATCTTCTCAAAGAACCACGTTTTAGTTTTATTGGTCTTTGCTATTGTTTTCTTTGTTTCTATTTCATTTATTTCTGCTGTGATCTTTATGATTTCTTTCCTCTACTAACTTTGGGTTTTGTTTGTTCTTTCTCTAGTTCCTTTAGGTGTAAGGTTAGATTGTTTGAGATTTTTTTTCTTGTTTCTTGAGGTAGGATTGTATTGCTATAAGCTTCCCTTTTAGAACTGCTTTTGCTGCATCTCACAGTTGTGTTTTTGTTGTCATTTGTCTCTAGGTATTTTTTGATTTTCTCTTTGATTTCCTCAGTGATCTCTTGGTTATTTAGTAGTGTATTGTTTAGCCTCCATGTGTTTGTGTTTGTGTTTTTTACGGTTTTTTTCCTGTAATATATTTCTCATCTCATACTGTTGTGGTTGGAAAAGATGCTTGATACAATTTCAATTTTCTTAAATTATCCGAGGCTTGATTTGTGACCCAAGATGTAATTTATTCTGGAGAATGTTCCATGCGCACTTGAGAAGAAAGTGTAATCTGCCTTTTTCGGATGGAATGTCCTATAAATATAACTTAAATCTATTTGGCCTATTGTGTCATTTAAAGCTTGTGTTTCCTTATTTTCTGTGTGGATGATCTGTCCATTGGTGTAAGTGAGGTGTTAAAGTCCCCCACTATTATTGTGTTACCATCAATTTCCTCTTTTATAGCTGTTAGCATTTGCCTTATGTATTGAGTGCATATGTTGGGTGCATATGTATTTATAATTGTTATATCTTCTTCTATGTTGGGTGCACATATATTTATAATTGTTATATCTTCTTCTTGGATTGATCCCTTGATCATTATGTAGTGTCCTTCCTTGTCTCTTGTAACATACTGTATTTTAAAGTCTATTTTATCTGATATGAATATTGCTACTCCAGCTTTCTTTTGATTTCCATTTGCATGGAATATCTTTATCCATCCCCTCACTTTCAATCTGTATCTGTCCCTAGGTCTGAAGTGTGTCTTTTATAGACAGCATATATACGGGTCTTGTTTTTGAATCCATTCAGTGAGCCTGTGTCTTTTGGTTGGAGCATTTAATCCATTGACATTTAAGGTAATTCTCGATATATATGTGCCTATTACATTTTCTTAATTGTTTTGGGTTTGTTTTTTGTAGGTCCTTTTGTACTCTTGTGTTTCCCACTTAGAGCAGTTCCTTTAGCATTTGTTGTAGAGCTGGTTTGGTGGTGCTGAATTCTCTTAGCTTTTGCTTGTCTGAAAAGCTTTTGATTGCTCTGTCGAATCTGAGTGAGATCTTGCCGGGTAGAGTATTCTTGGTTGTAGGTTCTTCCCTTTCATCACTTTAAATATATCATGCCTCTCCCTTCTGGCTTGTAGAGTTTCTGCTGAGAAATCAGCTGTTAACTTTATGGGAGTTCCCTTGTATGTTATGTGTAGTTTTTCCCTTGTTGCTTTCAATAATTTTCCTTTGTCTTTAATTTTTGTCAATTTGGTTACTATGTCTCTCAGCGTGTTTCTCGTTGGGTTTATCCTGCCTGGGACTCTCTGCACTTCCTGGACTTGGGTGGCTATTTCCTTTCCCATGTTAGGGAAGTTTTCGACTATAATCTCTTCAAATATTTTCTCAGTTCCTTTCTCTCTCTCTTCTCCTTCTGGGACCCCTGTAATGCAAATGTTGGTGCATTTAATGTTGTCCCAGAGGTCTCTCAGGCTGTCTTCACTTCTTTTCATTATTCTGTTCTCCGG